GGGTGGGGGTGCTCGGGGGAGGGGGTAATTTTTATTTTGAAAAACATATTTTTTTAAATGGGTTAGAACCATTTTAATTACTACGAGGGAGTGTTACAGATTAAGTCAATATCAAATTATTTTGGTTCCAATTTATTCATGTTGTATGGTGAATTAATATTAAATTGTTATAAGTAATTATTATCAAGATCGAAGACAAAAAGACTCCTAATTATATTGTTCAGTGATTTATCGGTGAAGACCAAAGGTTACCTAATTAAGTAGGAAACTGATGGGTCTCTTTTATTTTTTTCCTTTCATCTCCCCTCATGTAAGGTTTTCCTATTTAAAGTCACCTAGAAAGGGAAATGAACTTACAAATCTCATATATGATCTTCTTACCAAAGTATGTAAATGACAATTCTCTATTATAAATTAAGATCCATTTTCTCATCTTTGATATATCATTTCTTTCTTCCTTTTTGATTTTCTTTCTGGTCATAGTCATAGACCGCAGAAGAAAAGTTACCATCAATCTTTGTAGAAATGTTAAGGGAAATAACATTATTGTTGTATTTGGATCAAAGACATTATAATTGATTGATTGATTAATTGTAAAGAATGTTTGGAAGGAAATAATAAATTTTTATCATGTTGCATGAATTACAACAAAATAATGAATTATTTGTACTATTTTATGTAAGCACACCATTTGTAAGTGATTTTTGTATTAGTTTTAAATGTTCTTTTATAATGTATTCTTTTCTTTTCTTTATTCCTTTTTAGTTAAATATGTTCTCTGCTTATATAAAGTAAATTTGTGTCTAGATTACAATTAAATAGATATTACTTATTTAGCCTTTATATAATTATTGGCGTGGAACATGTACAATATTATATTCTTATTTTCAAATGAAATTAAAAATTATCTCAATGAAAGATTAGATATTTTATTGTATGCCAAATTATTTGTGTTTTACATGGATTATATGAAATATTTGACAGATAGGTTGAATGACTACATGCATTTATAATTAGTTTATTATCTCATGAATTAGTATATTGCCTCTTTAATTAATAATAAAATGATCTAAAAGTATAAAGTTCATTATCAATGGTCCATATAAAATTAGATAACTATTTTAGTTTTCAAACAAACACTCTTACTCTAACAATTATTTGTGTAACACTAATTGGTGAAAATTCTTCCTATATCCACAATCATTTATATTTTTTAGTGCAACATAAATCCTATAAATACTTAACATGTACGCTTGGCTACACGCACAACGCGCGTAATAAGATGTCTAAGGACTTATGTGGAGCACGATTGTCATATACTATAAGTTTATAGTAATGGGTACACTTGGCTACACGCATACCAATAAACTAGTAAAAGATCATAATCATCTATATAATCAAATATATACGGATCATTTTGATAGGAAAGAAAGGAGAGGATATATAGATATATAAGTTTTTGAATTTTTTTCGCTAACTAATTCTTATTTGTTTCTCTACATTTCAGATTTAAATTTGCAGTTGTGTATTCTTCACTTCTCAATCACAACATCAGATACTCATTTGCTGACAATTATTATTTTACAAAAATATAATATAATATGTAGAAAAATGTAACATATATCTAAGATTAAGATTTATGAAAAGTATAAAAGATATAAGCTTTAGATACATACATGATATTAGTTCTTTGAACTTTTTTTCTTTTTTTTGGGGATATTTACACATGGTGATAGATTTTGTTATATTTTATACATTATGATTATGTAGAAAAATGTTACATATGTCTAAGATTAAGATTTACGAAAAGTATAAAAGATATAAACTTTAGATACATACATGATTATTAGTTCTTTGAACTTTTTTTCTTTTTTGGGATATTTACATGATAGATATTGTTATATTTTATACATTATGATTATATTTAAAAGGTTTACTAAAAGTATTTTGTTTCACATGTATTATAATTTATAATCTTGAATTAAACAAAGGATGCATGTAGTATGTACAACTATGATTTATATATATAATAGGGAAAAAGACAAATATACCCCCAAACTATCGTAAATGGTATGCATATACCCTCTGTCATACTTTTGGGACATTGGTGTTCTTGTCATCCAAAAACTAGAGCATATATACCTTTTATACTAACGGACATACACGTGTCATAATCTTATCCACCCACCCGATATTTATTAAATATCGGATCGACGGATAAGATTGTGCCACGTGTCCCTATTTAATCTTCCGTTAGAGTGGAGGGCATATATATGTGTGTGTGTGTGTGTGTGTGTGTGTGTATTTTCAGCGTTTCTTAGCCATTCTCAAATACAAAATTTTAGTTTTTCAAGTGGTGGTGGAGGGCTTATGTGGAGTGTCTCTTATCAGTCATGCATCCGTTGAGTTGGACCTAGTTTCATGTTTCGTTTCTAGAGAAGTATGTGCTCCGCACTCTGAGAGATAGAAAAAAAGATGAATTTCTAGCCCTTGAACAATATACTATGTCAATTGCAGCCTATAAGTCCAAATTTCATGCTTTGTCCCGATATGCTACTCAATTTGTAAGCACCGAAGTAGTGAGGATTCACCTTTATGTGAAGGGATTAAACACTGACTTGTAGGTTATATTTGTTCACATGACTTCAGTTGGGAGGAGCTTCAATGAGGTAACAAACTATTTTTTAAAAAATTGGAGTTCGACAAATATATTATAATAAGAGGTGAAAAGTGGAGTAATTGAATGTAAATTTTTTTGAGATATTAAAAACAAGATCAATAATTAAATGAAGGATAAATGGAAAATTAGATTTAAGTCATTTGCGGCCCCTTAAAGTTGTTCGCATATTTCACTTGGACGCCTTATCTTAGACTTGTTCCAATTGAACACTTTTATTAGTAAAAAAAAATACCTATCTAACGTTTTTTTGACAATCAACTAAAATAGAGATTGCATGCGATATACTCGCTACTGACCTTTTTTCCTTTCCATGCTTAGTTATATAAGGATTTATTTTTCCACCTACACACCTACCCTCTCTCTTTTATTCTGATTCAACATTGTAGTTGCTATTTCTCCCTATCTCACTCTCCTTTTCAAATATCAATTCAAATTTATTCATATTTTTTTCTTCTATATTGTGAGTTCTTTAAGATTTGAATTCTTTAATGATTTCAAAGAAAATAATTTCAAATTCATATTAGTTTTGTCGAAAAAATGGAGTTCCATTGGAATTGTTTTTGACTCAATTTGATTTTTATTTTTGATGAAATTCTATTTATAACTTAAATGAAAATCTTTATCAGTAAACTCTTTTGCTTTTTTATTTTTTGACTGGTTATTTATTTAATGAATGTTTTTCCAATGATGATATTGATAATAGAGGAATGGTGTTAGAAAGAAATACGAATGAAGGATTATATAGGAAAGGGGGGGTGTCGAGGGATGGTGGCGAAGGAACTTGGCCGATGAGGATTCTAGGTAATTTTGAATTGAAAAGTCCAATTGGAAAAGACAATTGGGATTTTTAAACAAAAAATTATGTTCAGATTATGATTTTTCTTATGTTGATTTGTCCATTATTTATTAATCCGCAAAAAGATTTTTGGCTTCATGCGCGTTTTTAAAATTGTATCACACTTATTATGCCATGTCATCAAAAAGTATTTAATTGGTACATATTTTGAACGATAACTGTGTTTAATAAGAACAATCCCTAGTTAAGATATTTAAGTGAATTATGTGAATAATTTTAAGGAATCAATGATAATTTAAGCTAAAAAATAATGTATAATTTTATGCTGAATAAAAGATTAGCGGGAAAGAAAAGGATTGGAAGGAAGGGTAAAGAAATAAGTAGTTGCTTCTTACAAACACAACAGTACGTGGCCTCACGTTTTGAACAACGTGTCTGCCCCAAACCGTTCCCCCTCTCTCTCTGTATTGTTTTGTGCATGTATTTCCCCGCCCCTTTTTCCTCTTCCAATTCTTCCTTTCTTGCGTATTCCTCCACCTACTATTTTCTATATTCCCCTACCTTAACTTGTTCTGGTTATCTGCTCTTTTTTTTTAGATTCTGTTTCCCTGTTAAAGTGGAGAAAGTAAAGTAGACCCCTGTTGTATTATCCTTTCTTTTGGGTTGTCAATGGAGGATTCGTTGGAAAAGAATAATGGGTTGAGGGATTCGGGTGAGGTTCCGGTTGATATTGAAATTGAAATACAGGGTGAAACTAATGGGAATCAAACGAACAAGGAGAGTATTGATGCTAATTGTATCAATGTGGAAGGTATCGTTTTCTTCGCTGCCATATATTGTTTATTTTTCTTCGATTTCTGCTTTATGAATTCTTAACAAGTCTTATCTGATTCATGTTTTCCTGAGAAAAGGATTGTTCTTACGTTGCTATGTTGCGGCTTCGCATTTTCCCTTTTTAAAATAAATAAATAAATTGGAGGAGGGGAAGGGGAATGGGAATTAGAAGGTGGGATATTGAACTTTACCGATAAACTGAAAGTTCAGGTAGCCAACCAAATAACTGAGATACGAAGATCTCTCTTCCGCTTGATTAGTTAGATGTCTTATTTCCTTTTTCTTACCAAAAAATATGTCTCATTTTATGCATTAGTGCTTCAGGTGAATGTTGTCCGGGGTAAAAGATTGTGAGAAAATGTTTCAAGTTGCACTTTACTTTTTTGCTCTTTAAACAGGGAGGCTAGGACTCTTAATTTCATATTTACTTGTGAACACATTAGACTTTGGTAGTCTAGGATGGCAGAGGGAGCAGCTGGAAATCATATCTAAGGGGGTCTAACTTTTTTTTTTTTAAACGTACTCTTTAAGTTCTGTTTGTTTCTCTTTTGTTCATTACAAACCTTAGAGATTTGCCACGAAGAAGCTGAATCTTTGTGCTTCCTAGCTAGATACTTGGAGTTCTGTAGAGGGTTGGGCTGTGATTGCTTTGTAGTGTTACAATAGACATCACACTTGTATGCATAATTCTTTGACACACTGAGAACTTCCTTCCTTGCATCATCACTTTCTGCCCTTGCTAGGAACTTTGTTGAATCAACTTTCCATTATAATACTATCTAGTATTGGTTATTGGATTTTTCTGATGGCTGATAAGTTTGGGAGACGGAGCTTATATCTCCTTCGGGCAATTAATTTGTTGTCTAATGTACTGTTTATAGTTCTAAGTTCTAATCGTATACTGTGGGGGAAAGTCTGCTTCTAATTACTTACTTTTTAAGGACTTATGCAATTGTTAATTTATCACTTCAAAATTCAATTATTTTATATCATAGTTTATTATTTGATGATTATATTCTTAAGATAATTGTCACTGTCAATATTAATATTTTACTATCAGGATCTGTTAGCGGGAATGAGACAAGGCATAGTGCTACAAATGTGGAAAAGCCTGTGGAGAAATTGGAACCCGGCACCAGTCAGCCAGTTAAAGCTGGAAGACACATACAAAACCAGAACCGAGCTCTACATCTGCTAGCATCAAAGCTTTTTGATGATAGAGTTCCTTTAAGAAAAAAGGCAGGTGTAAATGACAAACTTGTTTACATGTTCTCTGTTGTATCTGTTTCTGATTTGCCTAGAGATCTGGTGGAGAAGCCTCACATTGTTGAGATCTTCTCGATATTTATTCGGTACATCTTGTTGTTGGATGCTGCTTGTTTTCCTTTCATCTATTACTAAAGCCTTCTTCATTCTTTCCATCCGAGGAAACAGAAACCTGTGAAACCACAAGACTAAGACGATATGAAGCATTTTAAAATGGGCATATTTAGTATCTTGTGTAAGAATATGACATAAAATTGGTAGAGTTTATACCTTTCTGGAGAAACTAAAGAACTTGCTGCTAAACACTAATTATTGGCACTTTGGGTTCATAGAAGATGTACAAATCGGATCATTGCACTGAAACAGCAAGATCCATATCTGTATTAGCTTGTATGGATGTCTGTTTAAGTGTATGTAGTGTTATTTTTTATTTTAGGTATCCATTATTCAAGCTCCAAAAATTTTTTCTCCTGGTTTGGGGGTGCCAATTTCCAGTTTTTCAGACTTTCCCATGATACAGACCATATGTAATCATTCCTTATAGTAACCTAAATTTAATTTGGACATATTTAAATGTAGTGAAATTTAAAGGTCTCTTTCTACCTGATCTGCTCATCTGTTCATAGGGCCTTCACCGTTGTCTTTCAATTAAAGGGGCAAAAGGACTATAAATGAATTTACTTGGTTTCTGTTCATTTACCATCACTAATGTGAGGTTCAGTTGGCTTTATCATGTAACAGTAGTAATGCGCTAACAATGGATGATCCTTGTTACCAGACAACCATCTTCTTTCAGAAATTGTTTTTTATGAAACTTGTACCTGTTTTTGTAATTTGTGACAAAACCTAAAATTTGCAGCTCAAATTGTTCAATAGGCTTGCAACTGTTCAAGATGATGGTACTGTGCAATTTGAAGTTCCGGGGGATATTAAACCCGAAAAACTTGATTTTGGCACCGGAGTTGTTTACAATGGAGCTTCAGGTGAAGCAGCAAATGATGTAGCTGATATTCCAGTAGTACCTCCACTGCAAATTGTTATGCTCATTGTTGGGACGAGGGGAGATGTGCAACCCTTTGTTGCCATTGGGAAAAAGCTTCAGGTTTACTTGCCCTTCCTACTCAACAAATACAACCATCTATAACTTACTAATTTACTACATTTATTATTTAACATATGCGCTTGCTTTTCCTATTAGTTAGAGATAACTCATATACATCTTTACGATCCATGAATTTCTGGATGATACATGTTACCCTCCTTTAACAATGTAAGTATGCAATAATGATATCAATGTTTGTTTAAGAAAATAGCATCCGTAGCATTTCCTGGATGGAGTCTTTGATAATTTATAATTGTTCCAGCTAATTTTGAAGTCAAGTAATAGGCATATTATAGCTTGGAAGTGGAAATTTTTTTTTGCAGGAAAATGGTCATAGAGTGAGACTAGCAACTCATGCCAATTTTAAAGAGTTTGTATTGGGTGCTGGATTGGAATTTTATCCTCTAGGTGGAGATCCAAAAGTTCTTGCTGCATGTGAGTAATCTCTGGAAACCTTATCCGCTGCCTTTTTTATTATGTCATATTTCTCATATTCAGGTTTTAGTCAAGCATACATATCACCACTAAAAATAGTTTGCAGCTTCTATTTCTAGTGCTCTAAAATGGTTTATAGTTGAGTCGAGGGGCTCAGGATATATACCGATAATTTTTTCTTGCATCAGTTTTTGTAATCTTCATCCTCAGAGTTATTTTATATTTGTCTAATTGGTAACATCTTTTCATCCTGGTAAGAAATTATAGAAGTAAAAGCTAATTCAGTCCCAGAACTCTTACATTTGTCAAGTAACTTGTTCATTTAAAAGCCGTCGTGCACTGAGTTGGTGATGCAATTAGCTTCAGTTTTCAGATATGAAGAGTTTAGTGAAATACTTGCATCAAGGTTGAAAACATTTAACTTTTTCCTTGTTATTACCCTGAAAATTTGAGACCCTACACCACAAAGTAGAAATCATATTGGGAGAAATAAAAATGGGAAAGCATGAAAAAACTGTAGACTTTTAGCAATAAAAGAAAGATTGGACTCAGCAAAGGCTGTTTCATTGTAAAAATGATTTTTACCCTTCAAACAGTTTTACTACGGGGAATCTGCAGGTCGACTTCCAATTGCTTTGTAGACTTGATTTCAGGACTTCAAACTCTGCTGTGGAATAGAAACAATCTGAAGAACTATATGAAAAAATAAAAATATTCAGAAGAACTAATATTACTTTATTTTAATAAGTTAAGGGGCTGAAAGTAATCTAAAAGGGATGTCTAAACCAGTTTTCCTTTTGTGGCTACTGCTTCACTGCATATCTTGAAAGAATTGAGTATCAATACCGTGATCTATTCTGTGTTCCCTAAGTTGTCATAGCTTTTTTGTGATAACCAGGGAATCCTAAGGACCTGTGGCGCACGGTTCATAACTCTGTGGATTATGAACCTGCCCTCTACCCTTCTCTACTTAAAATCTAGGCTTTTGACTATTACAATGTTTGAACCTGTGTAGTGCGGCTCATTCACACATCACTTGTCGCTAGACCAAAACCTTAAGTCTTTATAGCTTAACATGCATAAATCTTTATTTTGAATGTAACATGCATAGCCTTTGATTAAAATTTGGTAACCTTTTCCATTGGTATTTGGTTTTGGGGGGCCTTGAACAAAAAACAGTTTAATCATATATATATATAAAAGAGAACCTTAGGCCCGCCTACGTGGCGCCACCACAAACCAGAATTCTCTTTTAATTTATTCATTGTGACTTTAATGAAGAGTTGCGACTTTAATGAAGAGTTGCGACTTTAATGAAGAGTTGCGACTTTAATGAAGAGTTGCGACTTTAATGAAGAGTTGCGACTTTAATGAAGAGTTGCGACTTTAATGAAGAGTTGCGACTTTAATGAAGAGTTGCGACTTTAATGAAGAGTTGCGACTTTAATGAAGAGTTGCGACTTTAATGAAGAGTTGCGACTTTAATGAAGAGTTGCGACTTTAATGAAGAGTTGCGACTTTAATGAAGAGTTGCGACTTTAATGAAGAGTTGCGACTTTAATGAAGAGTTGCGACTTTAATGAAGAGTTGCGACTTTAATGAAGAGTTGCGACTTTAATGAAGAGTTGCGACTTTAATGAAGAGTTGCGACTTTAATGAAGAGTTGCGACTTTAATGAAGAGTTGCGACTTTAATGAAGAGTTGCGACTTTAATGAAGAGTTGCGACTTTAATGAAGAGTTGCGACTTTAATGAAGAGTTGCGACTTTAATGAAGAGTTGCGACTTTAATGAAGAGTTGCGACTTTAATGAAGAGTTGCGACTTTAATGAAGAGTTGCGACTTTAATGAATAGTTGCGACTTTAATGAAAAGTTGTGACTTTTATGAAAAGTTGCGACTTTAATGAAAAATTGTGACTTTTATGAAAAGTTGTGACGTTTATGAAAGGTTGTGACCTTTTTGAAGGGTTGAAACTTTTCCAAATAGTTGTAACCTTTCCGATAAGGCACAGTAACATTTGTTCACACTACCCTTTGTTGTCTATAAATAGAGGGATTTCCTCTCATTTTAAAACAACGAAAATTCTGAATCTCTTCTTCTTCTTCTTCACAATTAAATATTTGTGTATTTTGCTCCTGTTGAGTGGCTCACTGACACCATTAGTTATGTTAAAGATCTTGGTATGTATTTTTACAATCATTAATTTATGCTTATGTTATTAAGGATAAATGATAAGATGTAATAATTTTCATTTTCCTTTACATTATTAATGTTTGTTACTACGTAATCTTGTATGTAAGATAACATAGTGTTTTAGTTTTAATGACGGATAGGTTTTAAGTATTATTTTATAAATTTTGTGATATCGGGTAATTTACTAGTTATTATAAAAATTAATAACCTGTATATGTTCTTTTATAATAGTAATATTGTCATTAATTATTTGTTATTATTATTAGGCATAATAAATAGATATTCCCTTTGACTTGAATTGTTGGTATCTATGCCCTCCAACTTTGGTGTGCACAAGTAGACACTTAAACTTGTATAAAGTTGAACAAGTAGACATGTACGTCCTACATGGTATAATACATGTGTCTACTTGTTCAACTTTATAAAAGTTTAAGTGTCTACTTGTGCACACCCAAAGTTGGAGGGCATAGATGTTTTATGTATTATGCCTTATTACTATTATTAATTATTTCTATTGCTTCATCACCGTCATCAGAATCATAACGGTTAAGATATCATTACTTTGACCCTCCTATCCATGAATATACTTAACAAGAAAGAGGTTTAAGATGTTTGACCTATAAAAGTTGTTTAAAATAATACTCGCTCCATCCCACTTTATGTGGTGGTGTTTGACTGGGCATAGAACCAAAGGAAGAAAAGATTTTTTTGGAAACTTGTGGTCTAAAACAAGCCACAAACATTTGTGTGACTATAATCATCTTATGAAGGGTAAAATGAGAAGCTTAAAGATAAAATTGTTTCTAGGCAAGGAAGTATGACAAGTTAAACTAAAAAGAAGTATGACACATAAATGGGACAGGGGAGTACTATTATTATTATTTTTGATGAAATGATGGAGGAAGTATTATTAGTAGATGGCACATAAATGGGGACAGAGGGAGTATTTATTTATTTTTTTTCATGAAATGACAGAGGGAGTATTATTAGTGAAATGGTGTCAATGATTTGAGAATCTCTCAAAACGGAACGAGTCCTATCTTACAATGATGACTATTTCATGGCATGTTGTGGTGAGTCAAAATTCTAAGAAAGAGGACACTGTTTTGTTCACTTGATTGGTAGTATGAGGGGAGAGGGGTTGTTCAGCCTCACAGTTGAAAATTTCAGGAGGACGATGGATGGTGCTACATGTGTAAATGTTGATGAGGGTAAGATGTGTGGATCACTCACTGTTATAATGCTGGGTGGATGTGCTGAATCAGTTTGGAAACAATGGGCAATCTGAACTACAGTAAATGATGTGATGTTGGACCCCCACCGTGTAGAGCACGTGACGTTAGCTTGTTTGGATTTTATGTGTGTACTTGAGAGAGAGAGAGAGAGAGAGAGGGGAATAGAAGAG